GCTTACCGTTTTCTTTAGAGAGAATTAGAACGAGGATAGAAAATGATTTACTATTACTTGCCCAATTGCCTTGCTGATAATATTCGCTTTCGCAGCTTATTATCTGCGATTGGTAATAGGTTGATGCGTAGGCGTTACTTAATGCCTCCAGCTCACCCTTTTGTGACTATGCTTGGCTTGGCCATGGATGATCTCTAAAAGATTAGTCTGTTTATTAAAAGTTCGTGGACCATTTTCTGTACTTCCGACATTGCCTTTCAGCTCCACCAATTTTTGATGGCTTCTTGGCTAGGATAATATTTCCAACAATCTTATTATTTTTCTCTTGCCTTAGCATGAAATTATATTGGAATCAGTTTATAACAATCAGCAATATGTTGTATACTAAGTTCTATAGATTTTTATATCTTATTGTATATAGTACTTTGGAATGTTATCTGAAATAAGGTACCATGTTACAGTTTTGTTTAAGATGATCTGAATCAAGTTACTCTGGTGACTCCATGTCCCCGGCTATACAACATAACGACATCTTCCCTTTTTTCAAGTAAAAATATATACTTTGCACTAAATAATTCCTCTTTTCCATCCCTTGTCTTGCTACCATACTCCTCTTTATAGGAATTGGACCTAAGTAATAATCTCCTGAAAGCGCTTCCTGATGATCTGCCTGTTTTTCGGCAACAAGGTCAGGTCTGCTCAATGGCCTCTTTTCGCCTGCCTCGCGTTTCCCGGTTAAATTCTTTACTTGGATCCTCAAAGATACGGGGACTGCAAGGAATACGGGCTGCTAACAGGCATGGTAAAGAAACTCGTAACAACGGTGCTGCTTCTGATTCCTTGCCAGCTGCAACAAAATGCTTTGGCAATGAGTCTTCAGCGGGCCTTTCAGGTTCTACGAGTGACAGAAATGAGAAAGATGCTGTGCCCTTCTTATGTCAATCAACGCGAATTCATCATGCTGACTTTGCTCCATTTTGTGTGTACGCACCTTCTCTACATCAATTAAATCTTGCCAATAACCAGCTCTCCTGCGTCCCGGCGTGGCTATTTGGCGGTGGCATCGCAATTTCTACACAGAGCTGGAAGCACCGCCGCTCTTTAATGCATTCAAATAATTTTGGTAAGAAAAACAGGTCTCTGCTATACACAAGGTAAAAAAGGAATTAGAAACGGGATTTCTAGGAGTCTAAGAAACGGAATGAATATTGAATATATGTGGAATCTTTCAAAGAGCATCATACTACTAAGAGGCAAGATCGCATAAATACATAAGCGAGTTGGTGGAATAATATGAGTGTATGGACAACGTAGTCACTCATTTTCGGGATAAAAAGTGTTTTGAGCAATTGGATAGCTGACTTTTAGTATTATATTTATATTATTTCGTATACAATTTTAAATGCAGAAAATTTATAAAATGATCCCTTTCAATTATTCTTTAAAAACAGTTGATCCAACTTGTTGCATTCGCTGGCACAGTAGTAACTCACTTCTCGATCAAAATATGAAATTAATAGGCTGATTAGATATAAATTTGGATTTTTAAATCCGTATTATCTCTAGTATCCTATGAATTCCTGACAACATAGGTTTTATACTGGCCTACCTTTTATTTCTTTTGAGAAAGCGGGTCGTATGGATTCGAAGATTGGCCTCACCAGATATCGCAGAAGTTTTTCTTTGGCCTTTTCTTAAAATTAATGATCACACAATTTTTAAGCGATGCGAGATAAAGGTTCTAGAGTCGTATAATGCGTATCCAGATTATTTTGAACCCGGTCAAGGTATTTTATCAAAATCGCGGTTATAAAATATCTTTCCTCGTTTTCTTATTTTTTATAAGCAGGCTTTTGAGACTACCTATAAATCTTATATGAAAACAGTATTCACGATATTTTATTTAAGGTGATAAACTACTGTTAGTAGTAGAGTAATACTGGCAGATGGACTTACGTGATCGGCACTTTGTTTTATCGATAATCCCACTACAAAAATATGGTATCAGAAAGGCGTAGTCTTCCTTGAAATTCACCTCTAATGTCTTACCCAAGGCCACTCGTGGCATGTGGCATGGTGTATAACGTTTCGATACTATTCTCACAGTAATGGTTCGAATCCTGCTGGGAGTGCTGATGAGACTTAGGCGAGCCTAAAACTCCAGTACGCTCCTTTCTGGGTGAGAACAACTTTTGGGAAGCAAGTCTATATGAAATTCAATTTGAACGGGAGGCTTACTTATATTATTGTTGGAAAATTATACGAACACTTTCATAACTTTAAACGGTACAGGGTAAATGCAGCCCTTATATCTTACCTTGTTCTTCCTTATTTTAAAGCTAATTATAGGGCAAGAAAGCCGTCCCTTTTTTAGGCCAATCTACTTGGCCCGTAGTTCTATTGTGAGTTTAGTGGATTTTATATTTGGATTTCCTCACATTTTAGGTCTTGTCACTTTCTCAAGGTTAATTTGACAGTATTTTATTTTTTCGCTCTCCTACATGATTGTTTTCTTGATATTGATCTGATATTGTAAGAAATGATTGAAACGAAAATATCAACTAATGTCTACTCTTTGGCGGATTTTACAGATAGCTTGATAGATAGATGGAATACTTGAAATTGTATCGACTGATATCTTGATAACTGAATATGTAAAGTGAATTAATACTCATTTAATTAGCTTTATTTGCAGGCATTGAACCTTCATAGACTAGTATAAAATGAAAAAATAGTGACCTTAACTCAATCAAAATGTTGAGACCTAATGCTCGTCTATGAGTACTCTGAACCTTACTTAACTCATAGAGAGCTATAAGTCTATAAAAAATAAGTACTAGCAGATGCATGAAAATATTAGAGTTTCTTTTTTAGTCATGGTTAATAAGTTAAATTTTCCTTTTGTAAAGGAAGAATTGCATATATTATGCTTATGAGAAGGGTGGAGTACCTTAACTGTATAATGCCACATCAAGTATAGTGTAAGTAATTAAAGTACTCTTGTATCACATATATATATATATGGTTGAGCTTTTCCCATTTTTTCGTGCTGGAGCATGCTTTAGAACAGTGGTTCCCAAACTTTTCTTAGTCGCGGCGCCCTTTTTTAATAACAATTTTTCCATG